CAGCAGCTGGACTGGCAGCAGCTAGGTTGGCAGCAGCTGGACTGGCAGCAGCTGGGGACACAGCAGCTCTCTGGGCAGTCATCCACCTGCCAGGAGGAGTTGGTGCAAGCGTCAGAGCAGACGGACATGGTGGAGGCGGCCATGGTAAAGGTTGTGCTGGAAGTTGAGTGTTCAAGTGTGCAAGTGGGAGTGAGTGTGTGAAGTCCTGGGCCGCTGATCTTTTATCCTCCTCCAGCCTGTTTCCCCAGAGGCAGACGCACCTTTCTTCCTGTTGTGTGCATTGTGGGAAGTTCCTCTTCCTGACCAACCACAGCTTTGGACCTGGGTGGTCTGGGAAGCAGGGCTTGCTGGCAGCTCAAGAGTGAGAGAGGGAACTCAGTTCTGAGAGTAGCGAGTTTATCTGCCAGCTTCTGTCCAGGTGGAGAGATTGTGAGACGCTGAGGCCTGGTTTCTGGGAGAGAGAAAAACAGGTAGAAAACCCGGTAGCTCAAAGATCCTCCTCTGTCAGTGTGCAAGATGTCAGACACTGGTAGAGGCCTGGTGGCCATACCCATCAGGGCCATACCCATCAGGACTCCACCCTGTGCTGATGGTTGCTAGGGAGATGAAAGAGGAAGAGCCAACGGAGAGTCATCGTAAGATCTCATCAGAGGTCAGAGAGGCTGAGGCAGACAGGTCCCAAGGTTGAGGCCAGCCCGGGCTACCTCAGGAGACTCTGCCTCAAAACCTTAACAAAAACAAAACAACAACAAAACAAAAACAAAACAAAACAAAACATCCCCACCAGCAGCAGCAACAAGAAACTCAGCAGAGACCAGTGTGTCTGTGAGCAACAGTCATCTCCGGTGTTTATTTCCTGATGTCAAGTGACCCAGTTCAGAGAGCTCTTGGTGTCTGTCTGTGCCGAGCCCACATCTAGGCCTGTTGTCACAGGGCCACATTGGCTGGCACACTACCTGCCTCTCTCTGCTGTTACTTGACCATTTTCTATGACAATTGGGTCATTTGCACCAGTGGGGGTATGGCCTGGGTTGTGGTTTCGTGTGTGTCTGACAGCATGTTCAGAGGAGGCTCTGTCCATGACGGCCTTGCCTGAGATGGTCACCTCGTGTCACAAAGGGTGTTTATGATAAAGACTTTTGTAGTCTGGACTCAGAGGACTCGGCTGGTTTAAGTGAGGGTTGGGGACAGGACAGTACCTGCCCTTGGTCAAATTCTGCTTTTCGGAAGGAGACTTAGAATTTGCTATGGGGACTTCTTGGGAAGACAACATGCAGTTCTTTTCGGGGACATTGTCATTTTATGACGTTGTAGTCCTGAGTGACAGGGAACACTGAGCACGCCGGAGGGATAAAACCCAAAATTACAGCAGTGAGTTCCAGGTGGTTTGCATGCTAGAATGATAGGGGGCTGGACAGATAGGTCTCTGCAGGGAGGTCTGTGTCGAGGGCAGGTGGCTGCCTCTTGCCAATTGTCCTCAGCTTTTCCGAGGTGGGGACTGTGACAGGGAGGTGGTGCAGGGGCTGTAAAACTTTTTGTGGAATTTGTGCATTCCGGCTAAGCTGGGGGTGGGAGGTTCCAAGGAGTCATTTATTCCACAGTAACGCTTCAGGAAAATTCCCAGGCCTTTCTCTGGGAAAGACACTAGGAGCTGGCATTATTCACAAATTGCAGATGTGTGCGTCCCCAGATGAGATGCATGGCCTCACACACCTGCCTCTTATTTCAGGAGCATAGGTGCTTAACCTTGGTTCTGTCTGTGGGACACATGCTGTGTGGCTCCCATGGGTGACACAGGCCATGAGTGTGAGGCCCAGACAAGCTGTGTCTCGGTGTTCTGCTCTCTTGTCTATTTCTATAGAGTAGATTTCCCCAAGCCATTGGATTGTGGGGAAAAGGGAGTCTGAGGTGACAAAAGGCCCATGTGTCCCAAGGCCATGACCCTAAGACCGTGTCATCCAAGTCTAGCTCCTGAGGCCATGCTACCAATACCTGCATCTTCATACTGAGTTCATACTCAAGTGTTTGACTTTATCAGATCTTTTATTCTGGCCTATACAGTGGGCTTGGCCATTCTGTGCCTTTATCCACTTGTCCCCGAGTGGATGAAGCCCAGAGAATGATGCTTTGGCCCTTCACGCATCTCCAGATTCCCAATTGGCCACAGGGAAGGAGCTGACCAGACCTGTTCTGCCAGGTTTGACAACTTTTCATGTCTCTGGGCTCTCAGCCAAGACTTTCTCTACCAGCTGGTTCAGAGCCTTGCAGCCCAGACAAGCCAGGCTTGCCACCAGCCTTGATGTGCCAATTACACAAGTATTGGTGAACAGCAGAGAAAGGGGATTTTTTTTTAATTAAGTGCAGCCACACGGGGAAGAGGAAGAGAGGTCCCATGAAAACACCACCCCAAAGTCCATCTTTGGTATTCTGACACTAGAGTAAAGTTTAAATAGAGAGTAGGAAGTGTGCACAACCATCTGTCTGGGTCAAAGTGTGGCTCCGCCCGTCATCTTTGTCTGGACTTCAGTGGCTCCTGCAAGGTATTCTGGAAGACAAACTCCCCCTCTGGCTGGGACCAAGCTCAACCTTTTCCTTCTTCCAGCCCCAGGAAATTCTAATTTCTTGGAGCCTGTTGTCTCAAAAGTCTACAGGGCACAAGTGTGCCACTTTAGGCTACGTTCAGCCCTGCCAAGTGACTACACACTCTTCCATTGTCTCATGAACATCACCTGGTCACTGAGAGGCCACATCCCAGTGTTTCTGGGTCACAGTCATGTTGCTGCTCCAAGTATATGAGTTCTATTGACCATGAACACTGGAATAAGAGCCCGCAACCTTCTCAGGTCTTCTCAGATAGACCTGTCCACAGGTAGGGGGCTAAGGGCATCCCCAGACCCTACATCATGGACCCGACAGCGGCTGAGGCCATGGCTGGGGTATAGACACTGGGACAGTGAGTCTGGAGCTGTGACTGATAGATGCTGGCATCTCCTGGCTCAGAAGGGTTGCCCATGCCCTCCAGCCTGCTCAAAGCTGAGCCTTCTCCGCTCTCTCCTGCTCTGGTCTCCTCAGGTTGTCCTAGCATTCCGGCACAAAGCACAATGCAGTGTCAGGGGAGGCATCCTTGTGCAGGAAAAAGCTGGCAGACAGGGTGGGCAGACAGGCTGTGCAGGGACACCTGATGAGGCACCAGGGCGTATTAAGTCTCTTTGGAAACATCATTACAGGCATGCTCACCTCTCAGCACGGTTAAGGTGACAGCCAGGACCAATTGTGATGTGTGGATCTTGGTGCGGTGTTGTCACGCTGATGGAGCTGTTAGGAAGGTGGCCACACCCCAGGCCTGGGAAAGACAGGAGTCAGGGTACCCTCCCTGGGTCTGCACATCCTGCTCCATTCTTGCCAGGATGCAGATCTGCGCCAAGGATAGGGAAAGCAGACTTGTCACAGCAGATAGCTGGTGGCAACCGGATAGAGGACCTATGGGTGCCAAGGGCTGCAGCAGCTCTGCCCTGTGTCCGGCATTCACAGAAAGCCTGGTGTAGACTATTTTGCCCAGATGGACAGGATAGGATGGCCCCAGACCAGGCTGCATCTGTAGGTGACCAGTCCTGGGGACTCCTGCACTCATGGATTTTTGCTTGAATCTGCCTAGAAAGAGGCCCTGAGATTCAGAAGAGAGGCCACAGGCCTTTATGACCACTGGGCAGGGTCACTCCATTCCTCATATGCCTGTGGTTAAGGAAGACCATACTCCATGGAAGTTGCATACCCTCACAGCATAAGGAGTGTGATGGCTGCTCCCTGAACCCTACTTGACTAGAAGACTGAGGTACTCTCTGGGAGAGTGTGAGAGGAGATATTGAGAGCAGATTCCCCGAGGCAAACATACCCTGACTGTGTGCAATGCTATTCCATGGACCAGAGCAGGGAGGACGGAGGGGGAAGGAAAGAATAAAACGCAAGTGTCTCTCTCTGCTTCCCGAACACTGTGAAGAGAGCTGCTTCATTTTCTCTTCCCCAAAGTGGTGGATTAAAGTCCTGAGTGAGACCCTTCCTTCCTCCCTGTCGTCTGTGTTGGATATTTCATCCCAAACATATAAAAAATAACAATCCAGAAGGGTGTTAGGTGGCCATGGCTTTATTGGTGGTGTGTGCTGCTGATAGCAGGGCAGGTGACCCAGAGCAGCACGGAGACAGGGAAGAGTGACAGTGACTCAGAGACTCCTGGAAGGTAGGAGAGGTCAGGTCAGCATGGGGGACATGTGGTGTTCCTCTTCTGGGGGACCTGCCATCTCAGGACAGGAGCAGACTGGAGAGGCCAGGGGGAGCTACAGGGAGGGACCTGAGTCAGCTGGCACCAGAACAGGCCCATCAGCAGCTGGACTTCTGACCCGAGGAGAGGCCACAGCAGGCCTGCCGGGAGCAGGCAGGGCGGCAGATCAGGGACATGCTGGAGCAGGGCTTGCAGCAGCTGGGCTGGCAGGAGGAGGCACAGCAGGAGGAGCTGGGCACACAGCAGGCAGGTCTGCACACAGGGCGGCAGAGCAGGGACACGCTGGAGCAGGGCTTGCAGCAGACAGGCTTGCAGCAGACAGGCACACAGCAGGATGACTGGCAGCATGAGGGCTGGCAGCTAGACTGCTGGCAGCATGAGGAGCCAGAGCAGATTGGGGTACAGCAGACGGGCTTGCAACAGACAGGCACACAGCAGGAGAATTGGCAGCATGAGGGCTGGCAGCTAGACTGCTGGCAGCATGAGGAGGATCCAGAACAGATGGGTGTGCAGCAGACAGGCACACAGCAGGATGGCTGGCAGCAAGAGGAAAGTCCACAGCAGATAGGTGTACAACATACAGGTATGCAGGAGAGAGGACCACAGCAGGATGGCTGGCAGGGAGAGGAAGTGCAGCAAGTGAGCTGGCAGTTAGACTGCTGGCAGAATGAGGGTGTGCAGCTGCTGGTACAGGCAGAATGGCAGCAGGGACTGGACACACAACTCACTGGGGTGCAGAGGAGGCAAGGGGTTGGGGCACAGCAGCTGGGGGCACAGCATGAGGGCTCACAGTAGCTCTCCTGGCAATTGTCCACCGGCCAGGAGGCGCCTGGACAGGTGCTGGGAGAGCAGACCCGGCTGCCGCAGCTCAGGTTGCTAGAGCAGACAGATGTGGTGGACGCAGCGATCACGCAGGTCCTCGTGCGGCAGGTGCTGGCCATGGTCTCTGTGTGAGTGTGAGTGAGTGTGTTTGTGTGAGGTGCCTGGCCCGGGGGTTTTTATGTGCCTCCCACGGATGTCTCCTCATGAGTGTGGGCACTTCTCCTTTCCTTGTTGTTCACCTTGTTTGGAGACAACACAGCCAGTTTAGGGCTGGGAGCATGGGTCATAGCTGAGCCCAGGCACATCCTTGTTCTGAGCGACCAGGTGACACTACGGCTTTGTGAGGCTGGGGTCTGTGATTCCTTCTGCTGTCTCCCACCTTACCTTCAGAAACACAAGCTCCAGCGGGCCCAGTGCCATGCTGGCCCCACGCTACAGACCCCTCTGTTGCTGCAGGCGGTGACCACCCTCTCCTCCATCCCAGAGACCCAGGGTCCCTCTCCTCCGTCCCAGAGACCCAGGGTCCCTCTCCTCCATCCCACAGACTCAGGGGTCTTCTCCTCTGTCCCACACTCTTTGTTGTACAATTACTTGTTAGAATAGCATGCTCATTTTCTTCTGTGGAGAACAGCATTCTCTCTCACCATCACCTCCTGAGAGCCGCTTCTCCCATTCTGAAGACAGCGTGCATTTAAGCCAGGGCACCGACTGTTACCGTTTAGTGTTACTTTATTTCACATCTATCTCAGTGGTAACTGTGTTGAGTGTTTCTGCGTGGGCGGACAGGCTGAATCTCTGTATTCATGCGCATTTAGTCTTTGTCTTTTCCTCTGGGAGCCCATCACTTCCTCTGTTTCTGTTTTCCTGTACTGTGGTCATCACATCTTCCCACACTGTCCCCTACATGTCCTCAAGCTCTGAGAACACAAATACTTCTAGTATTCTGAATTCACAGATCAGTCTGAGCTAACCAGCCCTCAAACCCAACCCAACTCTCAACTTTCCTTATCTCTCAGGATTGTGCCCATCTTAGCCCTTGGCCCCACCCCCCTCAGCCCTTGCCCTGCTTCAGCCCTTGGCTCTCCCCCTCAGTTCTTGCCTCTACCTCAGCTTTTGGCCCTCCCTCAGTCCTTGGTCCCCCCTCAGTCCTTGGCCCTCCCTCAGCTTTGGGCTTCCCCCTCAACTCTTGTCTCCCCCAACCCTTGTCCCCCTCAGCATTGGTGTTCTGCTGCTATCCTGGATCTTCCTTATTATTTTTAAAAATCTTTTCCTTCATTTCTTCAGTGCTGGCTCCTTGCGATTTCTTTCTGAGTTGGTGTCCTTGTTTTGGTAGAGCATATCCCTTGGAGACTCTCTGGGAATGGACTCAGGGGTTCTGTTCTTGTGGTCCATGGCATACGATCCAGCTTTCCTAGCATCACTTGCTGAAATGGCCATCTTTCCCCAGAGATACTTCAGCACAGGTTTCAGGTGTAGGGAGGGGGTCTAGAAGTCAACATCGGGTGTCTTCCTTTTTGACTTTAGTTGGGTTTTCTATTTCACTGGTCTACGTGTCTCCTTTTGTGCTAACACCAAACTGCTTTTGGTACTTGTAACTCTTATACAATTTAAATAAGTCAGGGTGACACCTCCAGCATTGATCTCTGTATTTAGGTTTGCTTTAAAAATTCAAGGTCTCTCAAGCTGGGACGTGATGGTGCACACCTTTAATCCCAGCACTTGGGAGGGAGAGTCAGGTGGATCTCTGAGTTTGAGCCAGCCTGGTGTGTAGAGTGAGTTCTAGGACACCCAGGGCTACACAGAGAAACCCTGTCTCAAATAAATCAAATTAAATTAAATTAAGATCATGTTCTTTTGTGCTTCCTCGTGAATTATAGGACTTATTTTCCTATATCTTTAGAGAAGGCTGTTGGAATTTTGATGAGCAGCGCATTGACTCTATAGATTGCTTTAGTAAGGTGACTATTTTCATGTTATTGACTCTGCTCTATGACACTGGGAAGTCCTCCCTTCTACCAGGGCTCTTCCTCCTTTCTTCTTTTTAGTTCCTTGGTTTATTCATAAGTGTTCTGTTTTCTGAACACTTGAGTCTTGCTGTTTTCCTCAGTCTGTTAATCACTGGAATATAGAAAAGACACTGTGCTTTGTGCGGTGATTTTATATTCAGCAGTTCTGCTAGAAGCATTATCAGATTTAAACATTTCTGGTGGAGCCATTGGGGCTTTTACATATGAAAATAAGGATGTTTTGATTTTTTTCTCTCCTATTTGTATCCCATTTATTTCTTTCTCTTGTCTTATTTGCTGTGGCTATGAAATCAGGCAATGTGTATGTATTCAAGGGGACACAGTAAATAAACCACTCGAAATGACTGCTGTTATTGGGGTGGAGGGAGGTAGTTATTGTGAATAAGAGAGAGAACAGCCACAGGCATCTGAAAGAGTCCAGAGCAGTCAAGTGGAGACAATGCTTAATTCACCATCTTACCCTGGAAGTTGGTGAATTGTAATATCATTCAAGTAGTTGCATTAAATATTTTTATTATGTATTTTATCACAATTAATCTTTATCATCATTTTTCTCTTCTGAATTTGCCAGTGTTTTAATTTGCATTGTCTTTTATAAAAAACTGATCAGTTTTATTTATATCTATAATTCCTTCCTTAATTATCATTCGTTTATTTATTTTGTGTGTGTGTGTGTGTGTATGTGTGTGTGTAGAGGCCAGAGATTGGCAGACGGTGTTTTCCTGGTCACTTTCAGCCTTATTTTTGTTGAAATAGAATCTTTTTCTCTGAAACCCCAAACTCACCGATTCAGACTAGCTGTCCAGAGAGCCTCAGGGACCCTCGGCCTCTGCCTCCCCAGCCCTGGGATTACAAGTCCTACAGCCATGTCCTGTCATTTTACAAATGTGGGCTCCCAGGTCCTCATATCTGTGAAGATAATACTTCACCAATTTCTGGATCTCCCCAGTTGTCTTCTAATATTTAAAATTTCCCTTTTAAAAGTTCATTTTGGAAGCTCTTGTGGTTTTGTGGGTTGAACTCTCACTTTCAATCCTGTTCATTTGCATTACCTGAGGATTTGATTTTCTTCTGAATCCGACCTCTCCTGCACTAACTGTGTTGAGAAGGGATGCGTCCACACTCGCTGTTTGGTCCATGGTGCACGCCCACACTCTCTGCCGGTTCCACCGTCCAACTCCACTTCTGAATCTGCTGGAGGGAATGTCTTTAGATTTCACAAAAATGACTGTCTCTTTACTGTTATGAGTTGACTTTATTAACTGTGGTTCAGGAGAGTGGTCTTTGCAACACCTTTTCCTTAGTATTTTATTACAGATCAGCAGCAGACAATACAGAACACAATGTAGCAAAGCACACATAGAGCCAGCAGCCCGGCTAACAAGTATCAGCACTTGCTGACCTGAGCAGCTCCCTAGGAGCTGCTGCCCCCACACTCTGGACAGGACGTGGCTGGGACCTTGCTCTTTTGTTCATTCCGGAGTATTTTCATGGATTTGATATGGATGGGTAGGACTGTAATGACCACTTGCCCTTCTGCGTGTTTCAAGTGGAACCAACCATTGTATCAGTCTGTATGATTTGGCCATGTGGTGACCAGCTACTGCAACTGTGTTGACAACTGATTGCTTGCCATCTTGTGGGTGCCAACCATCTCTTCTTCGTTCATCTATGTCTTCATGTCATGGATGAGAATGACCGACTGTGTGACATTTGGCCACCAGGCGTCTCCATAAGTACTTACTGCTACCTCTTTTTGTTTGTTTAGTTTTGTTTCATTGTAAACTCAGACTTTGGGTTGTTTGTCATTACATACTATTAGTGACAGTAACTATCACATGCAGGGCCGAGAGCAGGTTGTCTCCGAGACTTGAGACTGTGAGGCCCTTTTTGCTCCCAGAATCCCTTTCCAGGGCATATCCTCCACCTCCACACCCATGCCCCTAAGGTGCTATAGCAAAGAAGAGAAGGGCCTGAGAGCTGTGGTCTAGAGGTGGGAAATTGTTACCAGCAATTTAGTTCTCAGATACCACTGTGTGACTCTAACTGCAACAGGCTGAACCAGACCACAGGTCCAAGCTAGAGATGGTATCACTCCACCCCCACCCCCCAGCCCAGAAAAGGAGCTTGGGACCAAGTCCCAGGAAGCTGGGACTAGGGCTCTCCAGGGGATGTACTCAGCACCCCTAGCAAGGATAGATGGCTCATGTAAAATGTCATCTATCAGGGTGTGCTTTAGACTTGTGACTAGGACTTCTGTGAACTGGTCTTCAAATACCCCTGCCATGTACCAAAGCCCCACAATTCCTTAGGAGAGCATGTATCCAGCCATGCCGAGTTATGAAGACCGCAGGCCAGCGAAACAGCTTGATAGGAGCTTCCCAGACCAGAGTTCTCTACAAAGAACAGCTCTGAGGATCTTACCAATCAGGGCAGGGAAGTCTGGGGGAGTCAGGGTGGCCAAAGTCACACCTAGGGTAGGTGCAATTGTCAGACCTGCCCCATTGCATCCCTGAACACATTTATCCCTGGGACACACCTAGGAACAGGGAATACTGGCTCTGACACCAAGGAAGGGGAGGGGCTCAGTGCCCTGTGAGCAGCCAGGGCTGAGAACTTGAGCATTCAGGCAAGCACAGAGACAGTCTTGGCTAGGGTTGTCAAGCACTTTATTGGAGTATGACAGGTGCAGCTGAAGGGGACTGGGGTGGGAGGCTGAGAATCCGGAAGAGCCAAGATTGGCCTAAGCACAGCAGAGGCCCGTCACGGACCCAGGGAAGTGGCTGGAGCCCATCTCTGAAGTGGCTTCTGCTTTGCTACACAGAGGTCTAGATTGTAGAGATACATATTCCTCACGATGACAAGGCCAGTAGGTTTCCTAGGAAAGTCATGGGTAAGAGCTGAGGGCTTCTCCCTTAGTGAGGGAGGGGCAAGCAAGTGACAGCCAAGGCATTCCAAGACCCTGAAGAGGCAATGGACACAGTTGCTGGCCACTAGCAGAGAAGCCGGGGGGTCAGGTGAGAGGGAGCTCCCAAGTTCTGGGGTGACAACAAAGCCCACTCAGCAGCTAGACTTCTGACCTGAGGATAGGACTCAGCAAGAGGGGCATGAGCAGGCAGGGCGGCAAATCAGGGACACACAGGAGGCTGGGCGGCAGCAGCTGGGCTGGCAGGAGGAGGTACAGCAGGAGGAGCTGGGCACACAGCAGGCAGGTCTGCACACAGGGCGGCAGAGCAGGGACACGCTGGAGCAGGGCTTGCAGCAGACAGGCTTACAGCAGACAGGCACACAGCAGGAGGATTGGCAGCATGAGGGCTGGCAGCTAGACTGCTGGCAGCAGGAGGATCCAGAGCATATGGGTGTGCAGCAGACAGGCTTGCAGCAAAGGGTCACACAGGATGGCTGGCAGGGGGAGCAGGCGCAACAAGCTGGCTGGCAGCATGAGGGTGAGCAGCAAGACTGGCAGCAGGGGCTGGACACACAGCTCACTGGGGTACAGACAAGAGTAATGCAGGGAGCTGGGTCACAGCAGCTGGGGACACAGCAGCTTGGGACACAACAGCTGGGAGCACAGCAGCTCTCTGGGCAGTCATCCACCTGCCAGGAGGAGTTGGTGCAAGCATCAGAGCAGACGGACATGGTGGAGGTGGCCATGGTGGGGTTGGATGAAGGAGGGCGAGGTGTGAGTGAGTGAATGAGTGTGAGTGTGTGTGTGTGAGGCGCTGGGCCGTCAGCTTTTTATCCTCCTGTGCTGTTGTCAGACTTGGCCTCCCTTCCCTGTTGGATCATTAATGTGTTTGTTTTTCTGGGATGTTGTTGTCAGGCCTGTCTGCCGCCTGTCTCTCTCTGCCAGTGGTGGCACTGGGAGCAGTGGGACAGTTGGGTGAGGCTCTGTGAGCAGTGAGATTGGGGTGTCATTGGTAAGACTTGTCTCAGATATCCCATGGCTCTAAAGATGTCCTCTGGCCATGGCCCGCTGCCAGGAACCTCATTCCCTCTTAAGAAGTAGATGTGATCAGCCCAATACTCCTTCCATAGTCCAGCTGTGGGTGAGGACAGTTGTCACTTCATGGCAGTGCTGAAACCAGACAGTGTGCAGTGGCATTTGTAGGGCCACTGAGTTGAGGGTGCAGTGACTGACCTATACCACACCTAAAGTGTCTCCCCGGCTCCTGTACCTTTCTGTATTGTCCTGTGCAACTGTCCCCCCGTCCTGTGCCTGTGTCCACCCTATCTTTGTACTTAGAGATGCAGGATGATGAGCTTGACCCCTCCATACTCAAGATGGCTAACAGTCCCTGGATGAGCTCTGTTTCTAACCCCAAGGAGGTTCATGGTCTGTCGAAACCCTGGAGCACTGCACGGGCCAGGAACCTGTGCTGCTCTCTGCCTCCCTGCTCAGTATTTTTCAGACATCCCTGGTCCACTCCATCCTCCTCCAAAGCTGCTGACAATTCCTCGCCAGCCCTTCTGCCCACCAGCCACCCAGCCTTGCCACTCAAGCACTGGGATGCGTGTCCCTAACCACTGCACTTAGGTTAGGTCACATATGTACACAGAGCAGTGTAGAAGATGCTTCTGAAGTCAGGCTGTGTGTCATCTGAAACCAGTGTTGGCCAGTGTCCTTGGGAAGCAGCTTCTCCCAGGTCCTTCAGGTCTGTCTCTCCGTCTTGCTACATGTATGCATGCTTGCACAGGTTTAGAGATTGTGTTCTGTGAGTCACTAGCACTGATTTAGAAGATGCTGGTCAGTTGCTGCTGGGGTTCACATAGGGTCAGTTTCCCATGAGTCTCTGGTCATCAAGTATGCGACACAGGAGCTGATCCAATCTCTGGTCATCACAAGTGCTACATGGGAGCTGGTCTGAGGTGCTCTATCAAAAGTTCCTTGAGCCACCCACATGGTAAACTCATTACCGTTGACCTCACACCAGCAGAAGAATTGTGGATCCTCTGTGAAGTGCCCTGTTGTACTAATGTCATAGCTCATGGTGGTTCAGCACCATTCAAGGGCATTCCCAGAGGACAGCCCAACCCCAGAAAAATTGGCACCAAGGAGACCCGATGAGACTTGTTTTTAGGATGAGTCAAAACCAGAAGGCAGAGCCTTATTATTATCTCATCCTACCAGCTTGGAGCATGTACCTTAAGATTCTTTGCTCTGTGTATGTCCATGGATGGCCACAGAAAGACACAAGTAGATATGGGAATGTAAATAAATGTCAGAAACTAAAAATTAAACAGAATCCAAATTGTGAGGCTTAACTCTTTGTCTAGTCATCCAACCACCCACTCATCCACATACCTATCTACTGATCTATCCATCCATTCATCCACCCACCAACCCACCTACTCATCCATCCATCCATCCATCCATCCATCCATCCATCCATCCATCCATCCATCTGTCTATCCATCCACCACCAACCCATCCACCTATTTATCATCACCAACTCATCCATCCACTAATACACTCACCTGTCCACTAATATAATCATCCATCCACTAACACACTCATCGACCCACTAACACACTCATCCA